GTTTCTGCATCGATTGACTTTTGGTGGTCAGTTTTAGTTTCGGGTTGTGCACTTGTGTTTGGTTGGACAGTGGGAGGGAGGTCTTGCTGAATATTGTCATTCTGTTCGACTCCATCTTCTACGTTTTCTTCCTTGTTTCCTTTGGACTCCAACTCTACATGTTCATTTGTGTTATCACCTTTATTTGCTGCATCATCAGTTAGAAGATCAAAGGTGTTGGATGTTGGGATACTATATTCTTCAGTGGTGTTGGGTGGTGGTGGAGACATTTAGGCCCATGTGCACTTTTCTGCACAAGATTCACTTTGGATTTTGTGTACAGATTGTTGTAAATTAGAGTTTTTCTCTTCAATTCTCTTACATCTTTTATTAAGAGCATTTATATTTTCTTCCATTTGTAATAGTTTCAATGTCAGATCACTGATGATTTGTTGTTTCTCCTTTTCTGTGTTTTTTAAAGACACGATTTCTTTGTCTTTCGTTTCAATAGACTGCGAAAGTTCAGAGATTGTTTGTTTAGTATTTTCTCTATGTAAGACAAATTCTGCTTCGATATTAGCCAGTTGTAATCTCATCTGGGAAAATGTCTTATCACGAGAAGTGTTTGGGGTTGTACTTTCTTCAGACAACGCTTGTTTTGTTTTTTCCAGTGGTTGAAGGTCGATCTTATCCTCCTTTAGAATGCTTTCCACGAAGGGTTTTATATTGTCGACTTTCCACGTGTCCTGTGGTGAGTTTACCATGGCAAGCAGTTGATCGAATTCCTTCGCTCCCCATTCTTTGTAGAATCTACCTTGAGCTTTAATACGACCAGCAGTAACATTGACTGTAATGGTTAGAACATTTTCATTCTCTTTTGTGTGAAAACTGAGCGAGATTTTATCGCATTTCGACGGATTATCTTGATTTTCTTGCTCAAGCCATCGAGTGATGATTTTCGTATTATTGATTCCGCCATTTTCGTGGTATCGGCAGAATAGAGCCTTAATCCATATTGGAAGGCGTTTTTCCGTGGTTGAAAAATCAACATGACTTGATTTGTAGATATTGTAGTCGATTTCCTCATAAGGTACTCGCTTAGCATTCGTATTTTTGAAGTTTTCAATCTTGTATCGCTCTAGTGACGCGTCGATTGTTGTTTTCGTTGATACTTCGCCTTCGGTCATCATATTTCTAAATAATATATCTTAGTTCCTGCTTCAAGCAACTAAAAAAACGTTTCAATGTGTTCAGTATTCTTTTATTTGTTTAAGAAGATATTATTCCAGCAAACTCTATCAGTATTCGTTTAGAAATCGGTATTTTTCATTGAGCACATTGTAGCACGTGTTAGGCATCCGCCATCTTGGATATTTCCTGTATATAATAAAATATGCGGTATTTGACTACTTATCAGATGAGGATAAGTTTCCATGTACATGTTGATAGATAACTTCGGAATAATATCACAAGCAGAATGGTGAAAACAAGACAGCCAATTCAAGATGAAATCAAGATACTTTTGAAGCCAAAATATGGCAAAGAATAACATGACTTTTAATACACGAGCCCAAATTACGCCCGTTCGTGTAAACAATTTATGTAAGCTAATCACTGATTGGCTTAATTATATAAGCTCGTTGCTGAATGGCTATGGGTAACGTTAATAGTAATCTGCTTCGCAAATACAAAAATAAAGATATACACCGGAACTGTATTGATATATGTTCATACCTGCAAGGTTTTTTCATTATTAAAGTGTATTTTCCCAATTTAGATTGGGTGGGTGGGTCATGAAATAAATTGGATGGGCTTTGAAATTTTTATCTACATCCTAAGATGGGTCACCAAACTTATTGGCAAAATTTGTGATTTACCTCCAGCCCACCCTAGCAGTTACTTTATGACCAGTCCCTAATATTAGTATTTTTTCACAAGCTAGTGAACATAACATATTCTCCTCAGGCTCGGTGATTATCGGAGAATATTCACCTCGACTTCGTCTCGGCGAATATTCTCCGATAATCACCTCGCCTTTGTCGAATAATTTTTAAATAACTGAAATAGTTACATACAGCTACTGATTTCAATCAAGGTTGTTCCCCGACAACCTTAATTGAAATAGCTGTATATTACAAACCAAAACAGAGATTAATAAACGATTGGATCAAATGTTAGGAGATCTAAGTTCGTCATTGTACTTTGGTATTTTAGTTATAGAACATGACAGGCATGCTATGAATGACTTGAACAAGGAATCGATGATCATATGAAATTCAATAAAGAAATAAAAAATAGTCTAGTGTTCGTGAGGAAAAAATATAAGGGAAGTAGTAGGGAAAATATAATAAGGGTCACACGAAGTATATACCGCCAACTTTAAGATGCCGCCAACGAACAACGGGTACGAAATACGGTTGAACGCTTGTTTTTGCATTCCTTTAACCGAGGCAGAGAAAATGTACTTATCCCCAGAGCATACTTGTCACCGTAGCGACCTTGGCTACAGCGTAAAATCACATTCTTGTGTAATAAAACAGAATCAAGAACATATCACCGAAACTGACTACGCAACGTTGCAGGTTGGCCGTTGAAGAGTATTTTTATAAAGAAATAATGAAAATTAAAAGATGAAACTTACCGAACACACGTATGACAAGTGTTAGTATTAGCATACATAAAACAAAAACTATTTCAAACGTACTCGGCATAGTTCGTCGCCAAGATCTTAAACTCCCTATTATAAATATTTCGCCAAACACAAGTGTGATTTTTCATTAATACTTCGAGAACAAATGTAATTCCCTATTAATATAATTTTACAGTTAATTTTACACGAGTATTCATTATATTCCTGACTTGCAATCAATCCCTTGAGTATTAGAAGACAATGGCACGGCGGCCATGTTGGTGTCAAATTCAAAACTGAAGTAATGAGATTCTTTTGTTCAAAAAGGCACCAACATGGCCTTCGCCCACATAATTGTGAGTCAAGAATTATTGTAGTCAAGCAAGCACAGCCATACGCGCCTTTCTCAATTTTGAAAGTAATTCTAACATAAATTTTCAATTCATACAGTACCTGTGAAAACTAGCTGTGAATAATCTTTATTTCTTCTTTATCTTTAATATATAAACATACTTAAAGAGCTCATTGCAAAATAAGAGCTCAGAAAATATAAATTTTCAAGCTCGACCGGTTTTTAACTAATCTGAATCGATAGGGGCGTAGCAACCGGGGGGACGGGGGGCACGTCATGGCCCCAAATTGTTTCAAAGGACTAAAAGTGCCCTTTTTTGTGATGAAAAGTGCCCTTTTTTGTGATGAAAAGTGCCTTCTTTGTGATGAAAATGGTGCCCTTTTCAATACCCTAAAGTGCCCCTAGAAGCCGGTGCCCCCCCCCCCCAATCTTTTGATGCTTACGACGCCGTAACGCCCCTGAGAATCGAGTAAATTGACTAAAAATGATCTCGTGTCAAGGAAATATCCAGCATTGCCGCCACCAATGACAAAAATCCAGTATCTCCCCATATCGAATCCGCCGTTATACTGTATGTGGTCCTTTTTGGGCATGTTTATACACATCACTCGGCTACTCAGCCCAGCCAGTCTACATGATCAATATTTTGAAAGAATTAGTGTCTCACCATGGTATTGCGTGCTTTTGTTATTGTTACCTTACCCAGAATACGCGACAAGTTCTTAAGAACAAAGCAAACATTTAATAAGTGATTTTAACAGATTTTAGACAAATTTCAGAATAGGGAAATCTAACTAATATGCCCAAGTAGGCAAAAATTACCAAGAAGACAATACATTGCGGGGGTGTATTTAGCACAATATAGACTGTATAGTATACAATGAATAATACAGACGTTATTTGTGAAGACGGATTAGCTTTTTGGGAATGTTTATCAGCTGAACATTCAATACTCGACTACTTCCTGCAAGTTTCTGGGAAGAGATTTAGATTTTAGAAGAGATTGAAATTCGTTTCCTTTGCTCCCATATATATTTTAATTTAATTGTGATATAAAAAGGTTTAATTGCATGTGCATAAAAATGTCCATATACAAATGCCCACCATTTTTTTCTTTTATATACTTTCGTTCTTGCTCAAATTTCGAAAACATTGCCAGCTTGAATTATTGAGCTAGCTGTATCGATTGCCTATACGGCTCTACTTGTGATGAAATTCCTAGAAGCCGGTCCCCCCCCCCCCCAATCTTTTGATGCTTCCTACGCCGTAACGCCCCTGAGAATCGAGTAAATTGACTAAAAATGATCTTGTGTCAAGGAAAATATCCAGCATTGCCGCCGGCCAATGACAAAAATCCAGTATCTCCCCATATCGAACCCGCTGTCATATACTGTATGTGGTATAATAATACGACGGTTAATTTCGTTATATTTTAATTTGGGGATGTTCTTTCGAGAAGTAAACAAACTATACGTAAAGCATCTCGATTTCAAGACAATATGCGTAACAAACGTGCCAAATCATGATGTTCATCTTGTGTCACCGTTGTGGTTTCGAAAACCAGGAAGTTTCGTAGTTTCGTATTTATTTTAGCCAATTTAATCATTTTAGGCCGGTTAAAACAAATAATATACAGCTAGGCCAATATTTCATTTATCGGTTTCCTTTGAATTCAACGGTGTATTCAGTAGGTTGAGACTTTATTTTTGGGCAAGAACGAAGGACGAGCTTGCATTTTGCAATATTTAGCGAAGATTAATCGAATCCAACATACAGGTTTACTGTAGACACGTTTCAAGTTGAGTTACTCAAAAGTCGAGTCACGAGTCTAGTTGAGTCATTTCGCTATATCTGATCGAGTAGAGTCAATGGCTCTACTCGAGTCGAGCCAATAATGGCTTCTGTTTAGTTTAGGAATTTGCTTCCTGTTTCTGACTGTTTGACATGAACGACTATAATCTAGATAACAATATTAATGTTCACGGGACCTTCTCGCCTAATATTAATAGATAATATATATGCCTAATTTAAACTTCCTGCCAACAGGTATGGGTCGTTCAATGTTAACTACTCACAGTATAATATATGTATATAAAACATTCGCATTTTTTTCAAAGTAAACAAAGTTCTTAGCATCTCGTTCTGTAAAGATGTGCGCGAGACAGTCTTGCCAAAAGATGAATTTCAAAGTATTTATCGCAAGTTTTTGTCTTGTTGTGATGGCGAAATCAGAAAATGCGTTTCAGTTCAGACAAGAAAGAAGTCTCGCCTCCGAGAAGGATTTCACCCGTGGTAAGCTATAATTTGTGTATGCAAATTTGAGATTTCGATAAAGTCATTTAAATAAGGCTCACAAACATATAATGGACCATACTTAGTTAGCTACATGTATTCTGTATACTTCGTTTGACCTACTTGAATAGTTATTCTATATATATAACGTACTATTAAAAAGTTAATTAACATAAAAAGTCAACTTAGTCACAAAACAGTCACAAACTTGCCGTGTAGCTACTGTATATAGGTTTCAATGAGTTAATTAAAATCAATGCGTCATAAGTAGTCAAATAAAGATCAGCAGTAGGTCTAACACACATAGTATAGGCGACTGAGAATCACGACAAAGATCGAAATTGGATCATTCAGAAACAACACCTGAATACCGGGTTAAGAGCGAAGACTCATTGTTGGAAAATTAGTAAATTACTGTATTATTGGCTTGGTCTAATACTGGCATCTTCAAAAACCTAAGCATGCAACCTTTAACATTAGCGTAAAGTTTCAATCAGTATTATTGCAATCAGAAGCCTAATATAGCCAAACAAATTTGTCTTAATTATTTGGGTCGGAATTATCTTGTTGTAGAAATAGTTTTTCCTTTTTTAATCGCAGCTACTTATAGCCTACATGCTCTTCAACTAAACTTATACAAAATGTCAACTTAATAATCTAATTAAAACTTTCACGATTGTGTCAAAAACAGTCAAAGCTATACAAGATTTATTATAAGTATATGGCAAATGTTAACAATTTCGATCACCCATCTGAACAGGCCTGCATGGTGAACCCAATATTTTCAGAATACACGACAAGTCATGCTTTCACCAGATTTTAGGAAATTTCACAACAAGGAATCCTAACTAAATATGCCAAGTAGGCGAAACCTACCAGGAAGACAATAAATTGCGGGGGTGAAATCACTGAATGATATTAATTCGAAATAGGGATTGTCCTTTTTGGGCATGTTTATACACATCACTCGGCTACTTCCGGCATGTTTCTGGGAAGAACACAGAAGCCCAAGCCCATCTACACGATCAATATATACTAATATATTGAAAGGATTAGTGTCACACCATGGTATCGTGGGCTTTTGTTATTGTTTTACCTTACCCAGAATACGCGACAAGTTCCTATAGCAAACATTTAGTAAGTGATTTTAATTAACAGATTTTAGACAAATTTCACAATAGGGATATCCAACTAATATGCCTAAGTAGGCAAAAATTACCAGGAAGACAATACATTGCGGGGGTGTATTTAGCTACAATATAGACTGTACAAGGGAGCACAGCAGTATTGTTTTCGAGACTTTCGTACCTGTATATGGCTGTAAAATCTCTGAATAGGTAGTCTTTGTCTTCTTTGGTTCGCTAATTTGCATATAAACACTAAAACACTGTTTTTAAATTCGTAAACAAGCCAACAATTTCTTTATATTTTCGTATTTTTACATGGTCGTCCGCTGTACATTGTATCGCATGTAACGGTTTTGTAAATACGCGCGAAACTTACAATAAGAAATAGAGGGGAGTGAAACTGTGGGCACGTGATCAATATTAACCAATAACATTTCTGGATTTGAGAACCGCTTTCTCCAAGGTTTGTAGCAAAACCAAATGCTTACAATCAGATTAGAGTCGACTGTAAAAGCCTACCAAAAACTGATTTGTTCACAATTCGTAAACATTTTAACTCTGATTTTTTTTTAAATGTATTATATCATGCTTCTACTTCGAGAATATTGCCCATGGCATGTTTGAGAGTGGTAATAATATACATTTTGTCATTATTTATCAAACTGTGAATTGCGATTTTTACGTATAACGTATTAAACACCGAAATATTCCCGTTTTAGTTTATTGTATGCTGGTTTTATATGGATAATTTCACATTAGAATATTTGAAAATGGCTTTAATGTTATAAAATAACACAAAATATAACAAAATCATGACGAAATGTCGAAAATCTTTAGCCTGTTTAGTATATTCATGTACTGAAATATGATTTAAAAAAGACAAATATATGGCATACTATACGATCAACCACAGTTTGGATTAACTATGGATCAACTCACGTTAAAAACATGTGAACTGAAGCCAAGATTGCATAATTCCATAATTATATATCTAGCAGTGGCCTGTGCCTAGCAACGGTTGCTGTGCCTAGCAATTTGCTACAGCGTCTGTCGAAAGATTTTACCGGATGTGCCCACAGTTTCACTCCCCTCTATTTCTTATTGTAAGTTTCGCGCGTATTTACAAAACCGTTACATGCGATACAATGTACAGCGGACGACCATGTAAAAATACGAAAATATAAAGAAATTGTTGGCTTGTTTACGAATTTAGTGTTTACGAATTTAGTGAAAAAACAGTGTTTTAGTGTTTATATGCAAATTAGCGAACCAAAGAAGACAAAGACTACCTATTCAGAGATTTTACAGCCATATACAGGTACGAAAGTCTCGAAAACAATACTGCTGTGCTCCCTTGGACTGTATAGTACAATGTATAATACAGACGTTATTTTTAATACGGATTAGCTTTTTGGGAATGTTTATCAGTTAACATTTAAAACTCGGCTACTTCCTGCAAGTTTCTGGGAGGAGATTTAGATTTTAGAACAGATTGAAATTCGTTTCCTTTGCTCCCACAGACTTTTATTTAATTTTATTGTGATATAAAATGGTTTAATTGCATATGCATAAAAATGTCTATATACAAATGTCCACCAATTTCTTTTACTTTCGTTCTTGCTCAAATTTCGAAAACATTGCCAGCTTGAATTATTGAGATAGCTGTATATCAATTGCCTATACTTGTGATGAAATCAGTTTAATTTAACCAATAAAATTGCTCGAAATTAACAAGTAATAAAAATTCGGCCTTGGGCAGGAATATGGGATACAAGTTTGGCAAACTATACAAAAAAATGAAATATTAAGTAATATTGATACATCATCATGTTATCAGTGAAACAAAATTCCGCAAATTGTTTGCAAGGTTTAGCTCAGCTGTTGAATAATACTAGACGGCCTAGTCCGGACAAGTTGTTAAATAAAAAAACTGTCTTTTATTTCATCTCTAATTTAATGCTCAAAGTATTCATCTGTATTAAAATTAAATATCTACGGTACCTTCTATGTGGAATCAGTTCTGAGAATTTCTGAGAATACCGCCATGTTTCTGCCATAGACCTAAAAATGTCCCCCACCCCTCCGAAAAGTAATAAGAAAAATAGTTAATATGAAAGGATACAAACTATGTGGCGTATTAGTCTTCTAACCCAATCAGCTATCAGGAACTCACATCGTGTGACCGACACAAATCGTAAAATGCAGGATGCTATAATAACGATTTACGTCACGATCTCACAAAATAACATTATTTTCCAGACAGGAATAGCTGAAAAGATTTTATTAAAAAGTTCGTTTTATGGCTTTCCTAGGCTTTGGCCTAGCGTTTTATCACAGTAGGGTTTTCACTTAAAAAATTCCAATTTTTGCTTCAGAAAAAACTAGCTTAATTAAAGATCGGCTTTTTACGGCATAATCCGCACTCAGATTTTTCGTGTTCCCGTGACCTTATTTGGTAAAACCACGTCATTGTCTCATAATATTAATTATTTATTTAACAATTTGTGACGTAACTCGAGACAAATTGCATTTGTCCTATGGTCTGTGACAGGGACGCCGGAACTGGGGGGGCAGGGGGGGAGGCTGCCCCCCTTGCCTTTTGCTAGGGAGGCAGGGGGGGCAGAAGTGCCCTTTTAGTTGTAAAATAATACGTGATAAATCACATTTCCAACAATGCTTTTTGTAGGAAAATCACGAGATTCAGGTAATTTATAGTTTATATTTATAAAAATTTGGGGAAATTTTTGGAATTTAGAAAAATATTTTGAAGAAATGGCGAAAATTTAAGATATCCGGAAAATTTTTTGGCTTCACGGAAAATTTTTGTATGTGCGGAAAAAAATTTTGACCCCTAAAATGGTACACTGACCGAAAATTTTTTGGCGACGGGGGGGGGAGGTCGCCAAAAAATTTTGCAGTAAAAAAAAATTTTTCATTAAAGGTGCCCTTGGTGTGCGTCCGCCCCCCTTTGCCCTATTATCGTTCCGGCGTCCCTGGTCTGTGATTGTACAAGACAGAAGTCTTTCTGGCATAATTAGTTGCTGGGTGCGTGCTCGCCCTTATTATATCAGTTGGAACAGCGACTGAAAATTGATGAAAATGTACGGTCACATACCTAATCGTCGCAAGTAAAATGCAAATATTATAGTATTATCTACCTATGTGTAGATGTATACAGCTATTTCAATTAAGGTTGTCCCCCGAGCAAAGCGGAAAAGTCGAATACGAGCGAGAAAGGCTGCTGGGGATCGCTAATAAATGAATGAATTTGATTAGCGATTCCCAGCAGCCTTTCGCGCTCGTATTCGACTTTTCCGCTTTGCTCGGGGGACAACCTTAATTGAAATAGCTGTATACATGATAAAGAAAATGACTAATCTAAGTTATCGGGCATTTTGTATTTTCGTTTTATGACGTCACTAGTTGTGCTTACGGTGGCAACAAAAGAAGAAAGTCTAATATCTCCAAAGCGTATTCAATGAAATTAAATGAAATTTGGTACAGTTAGTAAGTGCACCTAAGCAACCATTTTGGGGCGTTCATATGGTTGTCATAGAAACAAAATAGTTATTAGTCTTTGTCCTATTTATCTAATTCTTGGCTTCCGACGAAAAAGGAAGAAACTTTTGTAATTTCCATTTATTATCTCGTGTGTCCGGTCCCAAATCCTTCGCATGGAAGAACTTCGATTTTGAACGTTTCCCGCACCCTAGCTGATTTCTTGGCTCTGATTTTTCCTCGATCTGGTTGATATCTTTCCACTTTTTCAGCTCTTTTATAAAATCATCAAAGCTCCATTCTTGCCAGCACACTTTGTCTTTGAGTTATTTCAGTTTTATTGATATGCAAACGTCCGGAATTTACGTCATATATGAATAATGACTGATACAGTTAAATATCATGAAATAAAAAGGTTAAATGATGTTTACATGTAGGTATGTAATACTTCCACAACTGCAAACTTCATTTTAATGTATAAACTCGATAGTGAATACGATATACATACAAACTTTCACTTTAAATCATTATGCATTTGTTAGTATACGTAAATTCCGGATATTTGCACACCAAACAAACTGAAATATCTCAGAAACAAACTGAGCAAACGAAAATCTTCAAAATAAGTTATTTTATTTTTTCTTGCGGTCCGAAATCATATTTTCCTTTTTTTTTGCAATCTGATTGGCTATACGCGATCGGTTCGTATGAGCCCGTACGGACCGCGCGAGATTTAAAGCCGTAGAGCCAATGTTTTTATTTTTAAAAATTTAAAGAAGAGTTTAAAGGCTACTTTTTAAGACATTAAAATGTTTGCAGACGATGAAGAACTCAGTGAAAGTGAATTAAAAGGTACTTTGAATCAATATACGAGACAAGAGAAATTGAAAACATACCTGCCAAAGAATTAATCAATCTTGAGCGATGACAGTGACTCGGACTAAATATAACCTTTTTGAGGTTTTTCTGTTAGATTTGATTCCTTTGTAATAAACTTCCATTGGATATTTATATATTTTAACGATTTTTGTTCGCTTGAAAAGTGCTTGTATTCAGAATGTTTCGTTTTTGAATTTTTTTAAATAAACATATCAGGTGACTTCCTTATTTGGCAGCTTCATTCGCGTGCGGAGGGGAGGTTGGGGAAATTCAGAGGGGGGAATTAAAAAAATAAAAATATTATTTACCGGTATGGTCGGTCCGTATAGAGTTAGGTGCACTTTAAAGTGAGGTGAATTAATTTTGATCCAGTCCAAGGACTGAGTTAATTTTGATCCAGTCCAAGGACTGGATCAATATACTTCATCAGGTATCCAGTATTATCATATAAACAAAATAAAGCAATAGGGTTGGCCAATTTATTCATGAACTAGAAATACATGCATGCAACAACCCCTCGGTCACATTTTCCAAAATTGTTTCAACATGAAGTACTTTAATAACGCCAACACGTCATGTCAACCATGGCAACACGATCACGGCAAAAATAAATTAATGTTTTACACTTTTTTAAAATTAACCACAGAACTATTACCCTGGGTGCCAGAGGTTCTTCCACGCTCGTAGGGGGGATAATGAGGGATACACGAGGATTCAAGCTGGGCGGCGGCGAGCGGGAAGAACCTCTGGAACACTTCTATGGCTTTTACTGTTTTAACTGTCTCATGTCAATCAAACGTTAGCCAATAGGACACGTACTTATTTTTGACTGATGATGATTTGGGCATGTTCAACCGAACATTTGAGCGATGGAAATTGCGACAGAATGTGTCAATTTCAAAACAAAAAATTAAAATTAGCGAGTCGTTATAGTAAAATAAACCGAATAATATTATATGGCCGCATGGCATTAGACCGTAGACCTGTTAAAAGTGTTACAAAAAAGCAGAAACGAGTATTGTCGAGTTTGTGGTGAATTTGTTATTCACAGTGGGTATTTTAGTATATACAGTAAGGATCGTCGCCTCGGTAGATTGAACGTTGAAGCATAATTTTCTTGTAAAACCAATATTTGCCGTCCAAGGCCCTGTTTATATGGAGGCGAGTTAAATTGGCGAACAAAAGTTATCTAATGAGTAATGATTTGTATGTATTTTTAAACAATATATTATATTTCAAATGCAAAGCACATACATTTAGGGACCGACCGTTTATTACATCTCAGGGGAGGCGGTGGTTTTTTTAAAAACATCAATAAAATATGCACCCCCCTATATTTTTTGGAAATGAAAAAATGACCCCCCTGGTCTAACTATATAGATTAAAAATATACCCCCCCCCCCAATCGCACTAGGCATTTCTAGGCATCAAACCTCAGTGCATCATTTATTCGAATTACTAGGCCTCGTGATGAGGAAGTGCTAATAGAAAAACTGGGCACTAGTTCATTGAACTATAAATAAACTGCTATGATGAAGGCCTATGATTTGATGAAGCCAAAATAGTTTTTCTGAGTTATGAGCAGAAATACTTTATCCCAAACGTTGGGCGGTGTGGAAATTTCAAGACTTCAGCGAAATATTTAAAAAATGCAAAAACAACTGCAAAATGGAAAATTATCAGCAATTATTTTTGTAGTTTTTCAATATTTCCCTTTTAGCTAAAGTCTTGAAATTTCTACACCAAATAGCGTTTTTCAATAGCTTCAACTTGATATATAGCCCAACGTTCAGTGTTGAGTATTCCTGCTCATAACTCACCTAACTAAAATGCACTGGCTTCAATTCCCCCCCCCCCCGAGTTAGCCTTCCAGTTTATTTATAGTTCAATGGTTTAGCCTCAGTGGGTTTAGCCCTGTTTGACAAGATGGCTGCCGCCAAATTATCATTCCGTTCAGCGGAGTCACTAAGATTAAGAACAATTGAACTAAACTTTGAACTAAGAGTTCAATGCTAAGAATTAGATTCCAGTCTTCTCTATGCAAAAATTGCACACAATGGCGCAATATTGCTTGATTAGTTTGTATTTGTCTTTCTTTCTATCAAATTCAAAATTAAATGGTAGATATAGTTTGAATATCTCATAAAGTCATTTTAATATGTAAGAATCGTTCGCAATTTCAAAATTTAACCCCCCCCCCTTTCCTTTTGGGAAACAAAAAGCTACCCCCTAAAATAGCCATATTTAAAAAATTAACCCCCTCAACCCCTGAGACGTAATAAACGATCGGTCCCTTGTACACATACATATTTCGATCTCGGGCGGCCGAGTTAACAAATACCCGAACATCTTTTGTTTATAATATGGTAACTATTCATCTCGCCGAAGGCAATATCTCGCCTCTTTCTGCCGGGAACTCGTCACTGGCGAGTTTATACCGACTACATCGTCATGTCAACAGTTCCTCGGCTTTATAATATAGCCGGGATCTTGTCGTTGACGAGTATAAACTCGACTTGCCGGGTAATTCGCCTCGATATAAATAGGCCTATAAAGACTCCCATCTTGTCTTGACATGCTTGATTTGACTAGACAGACACGCACACGAAATTCCCTCTTGGCAATATAGCAAACATGTCATTGAGTTTTGTAACACCGTCCAGTAAAAAATTTCAAAATCGAATCAACCACGACCGAGTTGTTGAAAACCTCCCGCAAGACTCGCAAAACTAGAGGCATATATATTTACGCCTGACTATATTATAAATATAATATTATATTTTTACAACAGCGTATGCCTGAACGGATTCTGAACGATAATATTTTGAAGGATATACGGTTCAAACAGCCAATGAAAGTCATTGTTTTAACAAGTCCCTGCCGTTAACCAATTAACACAGTGATCCAGATTCTGGATCACTTCACACATCACATTAAGCATCGTGATTGGTGCGGCTCGATCTGAGAAACCATAGAAGTGTTTCAGAGGTTCTTCCCGCTCGCCGCTGCCCAGCTTGAATCCTCGTGTATCCCTCATTATCCCTCTTACGAGCATGGAAGAACCTCTGGCACCCAGGGTACAGAACTATCGATTTCTAACATATATAAAATAGGTATGATTGTTTGTGATGTTACTCTGAGTGTATATTCAAACCGAGCAAGCTTGAAAAATATGCCTGGCCACGGTGGGAATCGAACCTACGACCTATGGCATACTAGCCCAATGCTCTGCCAACTAAGCTACGCGGAAAGGTCGGTTCGAATATGTGATATTTCGGACCTGAGTCTAGTTCCTTCGATATCAATGCAATCTAGTAATCAAGATATTTTCTGTGTTGGCGTTGTGTACTCAGGTGAATATGATTTGTTGTCATGTTATTCTGAGTGTATCCACACCGGGCAAGCTTGAAAAATATGCCTGGCGACGGTGGGAATCGAACCTACGACCTTTGGAATATACTAGTTCAATGCTCAAACAATCATATTCACCTGAGTACACAACACGAACACAGAAAATGTCATGATTACTAGACTGCATTGATATCGAAGGGACTAGACTCGGTTCCGAAATATCACAAACTCGAACCGACCTTATCAGAGCATTGGGCTAGTATTCCAAAGGTCGTAGGTTCGATTCCCACCGTGACCAGGCATATTTTTCAAGCTTGCCCGGTGTGGATATACACTCAGAGTAACATCGCAAACAATCATATTCACTTGAGTACACAACACCAACACAGAAAATATCATAAAGTAGGGATGTTATTTTGCTTTGTATGGGCTTTATTTTTATGCAATATTCAACACGAAACGCTTCGTAAAACGTGTCTAATACGTTATACCTAAAATAAATCACTATGATTTGTTGAACCCGATAACTTGATCAGATATTGATATATTTCACTTATACCATTAGAGTGATGTTCTAATGATTCCTATGTTATTCCGTTAAATTTATTTTATTCCCATTTTCAATTTACAGGTGTCAATTCTACGGTAGGTCTGGAATAATATTTTCAACGATTGAATAAATGCTTTATAGATCTAATTGCAAATCATCATCATCACTATAATTAGCATCATTATTAATTTACTAAAGTAGGTTTACCAACTAAATAATTGTGCGTGAGAAGTAGAAAGAAAACGTTGAAAATACAGCTGGGTAAGTTGGGCTGGAATATACAGACATTCAGCATCACATCTCTTTTACCAGGCTCTCATTTCCGTTTCCATCCAATTGCGTTTTACTGACTTCACAAACGAGAATGTGATACCAGCAGTGAACATTACTGCCGCGAATGGAACCACAGCCTTCCAGTTCCTCCAACAGGCAGCTCAACAAAATCCATGTTATCTTTCTCAATATATAACATATCCAAATCTTGGTCATTACATCACAACCATATGCTGTGTAGCACAAAACACGACGTCTAACTTCTACTGGTTCGTCTACATTAATAACGCACTCTCGCCAGTTGGAGTGGATGGTCTGATACCAAACAATGGAGATATCCTTAGGTTCGAGTACCGGTTTATAAACTCTACTGATGGAAACCATACAGAAACCTCTGCGGCTAAAAGTCCTAAAGTAGGTACGTTATTCAAATATCGGTACAATTTTTGGAGGGGGACGATTTTAAAGTGCTATTACTAGGTATATGACAATGGTGTGATTTTATCTAATAAATACCATGCATATTGTGCGAGAAATTGAAAACTTGATCGCACTATGGTATCTAGATTTGCTTCATGGAAGATTGTGCGTCGTGAAATTAGCCTTTAAATTAAATAGATTGCAGGCCTTTGCATTGGTGGTTTGCAATCAATCCATTGAAGCTTATAAGACAAAGATACGGCGCCCATGTTGAATGAAAAGCAGCTCCAAACAAAATAGCTGCCAAGTACATTTTTTGTTAGCGTTCTTCCAACATGGCCGACCTCAAGTACAAACCAAGAAATGTGCTTGCATGAAAATTAATATTTCACACATCTGCTGCATGGGAACATAGTTTCCCGGTATGCAGAGTAAACCACACTGCATGCGACCACTAGACTGCTTTATTGATGTTTGTAGAGTTCCCGAGCTCGTCATCATTTGGAAAATATTTTGTGGGTGAAATTCGGTGAACAAAATTTGTCGCGCTGCAGGTTGGAAAAGTCCGTATTGCATGGGGAAACCAATATGGTCATAAGAATAACATTCATTTTTTCAATATTAATGTTTTATTCTTGTAGGAAAACAAGATTCAATGCAAATGGTAAGTTATCGTGCAAGGTAGGCTTTCTTGTCCACAACTGAAACGCGAATCCAAAGAGGATCGCCAAAATTCCTGTTGTGAAAGTGAAATGAATTTGAAAGATACTGATAAGGATTAAATTAAATTAAGGAAAATAAAAACCAAACAAGTAAGACATGGATAAGAAAACACAGTCGGTATTATATTCTACTAAACTGATGGTTGAACTCCACTGCAAATATATTGTATTAATGTATTCGTCGAAAACAAAATGGATATCCGGATATCTTTCGGATATCCTGTTGAAAAACAAGGAATTTTTCATATGCTCTACTGCAGTATAGGTTTTAAAGTTAATTCAGTTCACTATTTTATTCAGATTTTTACTTTCTCAGATTTCCGTCTCAGTCAAACTTACGTTCACTAATTATCCCAACCCAAATGTCCAACCTCCAGAACAAGTGATTGCCGCAAATGGAACAACAGCTTTTGAATTTCTTCAACTTGCCTCACAACTCAACCCTTGCTATCTTTTCAACTACACACAGTTCAGTTTTGGCCGTTACATTACAACGATATGTTGTATCGAAGAAAATAAAGCAACACAATTCTATTGGTTTATTTATTTAAATGGTATACCCTCTCCAGTTGGAGCTGACTTGCTCAAGCCGAAGAATGGAGATACCCTGACCTTTGAGTATCAGATGTCGACAAATACTGATCATTCAACCTCAGCCCCAACACCCCGCAGTGCCACACCCCGCCGTGCCACACCCCGCAGTGGCACACCCATTATAAACCCAAAACCAACTGGAAAAGGTCAGCAGATGCCTGCTGCAAGTTTGAACGTATTCATTTCGATGGCAATTGGAATCCTAGCCCAGAAATTCTAGGACCTTCGATCATTTTCAGTTAATACTTTTTAGTAACTTCAATAATATGTTTACTTACATTTTGTCATATTATTAATGAATTAGAATAAACTTACGTGTAAGACATACGCACGTCTAAAACATTGCCCATTAGCAATTAGTAGTAGTTGAAGTGTAAAAACGATTATTTCCCGTCGATGGCTGTTAAGTATGTATTAATTATCATGTCACCTGGCTCTTATAGCCGTATAATCAAGATATAAATAATTATATAAGTTTGTTTATCTCAAAATCTTAGTGAGGTTTATATGGAGGCAAAGCACCCCGAGTGCAGCGCAATCTCACTCGCTTTCCCTAAACGAATTTCACATGTGTTTACATGAAACAATGCAGACAAGCTTGCCGCGAAAACAAAGCATTTCAGCTGAGTTATTCAGGGAGAGTAAAAAAGTAATCAACCGCTGGCATGTCAGTGAGTGCCTTTATTGAAGAATTTTCATTGCGTGGGGGGGGGAAGGGGGGACGGCAAAACAATTCCGTCAGAAGTAAATCAATATTGGGGGTGGGGTACAATCACCTTCTTGAATAGATCTAAATTGCTTTCGCACTTTTCTAATTCTTTTGCGTGTTTTTCTTATACAAATGAAAATTTATATTAGAGGGGGCTCAAACCCCCAGCTGCCTCCCCCCCCCCGCTTCAAATAGGTAAAATACGGGACGTCAATTAAGGTTTGCCCACAGGAGTGAGTGGAAGGAGAGTGTTTTAGAACATTAACTAATTAAGTTTAAATTTTACCTTAACTTGAATAATAATTTTCAATAAATCTCCAGCTACGAAAATCAGACTGATTATGGTAATGGTAATCATTTTAAATTTGGGGGTTACAAAAACCCCATTGACCAATGATTGAGGCCATCTAACAAGTACATAAATCATGCAGTCTAAATTATTCATTACAAAATCTCAAAGCCTTTAAAAACGCATCGCAGCACCGCCCAGACACGTATGCTCACAAACAACAAGGAATTTCAAGAGCTGTCGATGACTCTGTTATGCGCTTTTTACTGTGTGCTTCATTCACTTGTCATACAATCTGTACAAGTTATAATTTTAAAAATTAATTTTTATTTAAACTACAATGGTTTCGACTCGTTTTGAAGTGTAATACGAATTTAAAATCGAGTACAACGGTGGAAACAGTAAAGAAAGATAATTTAAATCGTCATGGAAGAGAGTGTAGTAACCTTCTTGACAATCGAAGACTTAGTTCAACGCTGCAATGAAATGTGCAGCTTTTTTCTCTTCCACTATAAAGTATGTCGACCTTGATAAGGACTGGGTAGATTTAAGACATGAAGATCTTTCTCAGTCATGAAGAGAATTTTAAGAAGAGAATTTTCAAAATTTTTACTCCCATCGTTTTCCTGCTTCTGAAAAGTAGGGGGGGGACTTCAGCTCCTCGTCATTCGGCAATAGGAAATTTTAAGATGTGGGGGAAATTTATGAACAATTGAACAAATAGTATCTGAGATATAAAAAATACCACATGGACAGCGTAAAATTGTACGGAACATGACGTCATTGTGGTTGCTATGGTAAATATGGCGCTTCAATATTGCCGTCTTTTTCTTTAAACTTCTTTAACTTGAAAACAACAGTTGTTCACGCCTATGGGCCTCGTTTCAATGTTTGTTGACGACCAACCCACGCGCCTTCAATACTTGTATTTGGGGACTGTATATTAAATGTTACATGAAGTACACACCACTCACAATAACGAACGGTTTTATTTTTCACGCGTTCAAAAACAGTCAAATCTTCTTGATTCAAGCCAGCCAACAGAGCAATACAAAATCGACAATAATAACAAGTTTTCACGATCCAAAAGCGTCCAAAACAGCGTACAAAACGACCAATTTCCTTTTAAACAACTCAGTTCTCTCAAAACGTCACGACAACGTTTGTTCTTGAGCCCGCCGTATAATAAACGCATACTTCATGTAAAGTTTCTCAACGCCCGTCCATCACTCCTCCCCATCGTTCGTCTCGATTTCATCGGGGCGACGATCGTATCCGCATTCCTGTTCGAGAAGACATAATTTCGTAACTGGTCTCGTATAAACACCATTGTTAGTCTTCACTTTGGCAGCTCGAACTCGTCCGTCTTTTCCAGGACATGTTTCAACAACTCGTCCTAACTTCCACTCACCACGTAGAAGACCCGGATCTGCTATGAGAACAACGTCGTTAACTGAAATATTCCTTTCCTCGTTTCGCCACTTCTTCCGGGAGGTGAGATTAGGCAGGTAGAGCTTCACCCACTGCTGCCACACGACATTTGCTAAGTGCTGGGTCTGTTTGAAACGACCTTGAAAGTTTGGTCGGCTGTACTCTCCGAGTGGGACAACTGGCGAGCGTCGGTGTAACCAAAAGTGGTAGGGTGTCAGAGCCTCTATGTCCTCATGATCGCTGCTGACGTATGTTATCGGTCGTGAATTGACGAATCGCTCGACTTCGGCAAAGAGAGCGGACAACTGCAAATCTGTAGGGTTACTTCTCTTTGGTCCTCCTTTTGGATTCAGGGTACGGTTAAGTGCTGTCTTGACTGACTTAACTAAACTCTCGTGTACTCCTCCCCAGTGAGGGCTTGCAGGGGGTTGGAACTTCCAGGTGATTCCTTCTCCAATTCTAGCTAGGCGGGTTTGAAGTTCTTCACTGTGATTTAGTTCTCTAACCATCGACTTCAATTCAGAGACTGCGCCGACGAAGTTCGTGCCGTTGTCACTGTAGATAGATCTTGGCTCTCCACGCCTCGCCATCATCTTGTGAAGAGCTTGTAGGAAGTCAGGGGTGGATAACGATTCAGCAACTTCCAAATGAACACATCGAGTCGTCATGCATGTAAACAGGGCGCCGTATCTCTTCGCCTTCGTGTTTCGAGTCAACTTGACTTCGATTGGCCCGAAATAATCCACAGAAGTGTGATAAAATGCTGGTTGCATGGCAGTTATTCTTTCGATAGGAAGTTCACTTAGTAACTGACTGCCAGGCTTCGCTCGTTCTTTCTTACACTGGGTGCACTTTCTCTTGAAACTCTTGACTTCCTGTCGTCCACGAATTATCCGGAACTTTTGACGAATTGCGGCCAAAACGTGGTCAGTTCCTCCATGTTTTTCGAGCCGATGATAGCTCCCGATAATCAGCTGGGTCAAACGGTGTTTCTGAGGTAGGAGGATCGGGTGTCGCACTTCGTAAGGTAATTGAGCTCGGTCAAGTCTTCCTCCAACACGTATTACGTTATTCTCGTCGAGGTAGGGTGTAAATGACAACAGTTTTGATCGCTTGCTGACACTTTTCGTTCTTTCCAAGGATTGTAGCTCGTCGGGGAATGCCTCTCGTTGACATTGGCATACTAGGGCAGTCAGTCCAACTCGTAATTCTTGTACGGTTACGACACTACTCTCTGGTTTCTTTCCTTTACATACATTGAAGAAACGATGAACTAACGCTGCTACTCGCTGTGCTTTCGACAAGGACGAAAATCGCTCCAAATCGACGTCAGCATAGACGGGAACACGCTCTGGGTTGGATTTTGCAACGAATATTTTGCTTGGTTTGATTTCTTCGTGTTGCTGTAACTCTTCGAGAGGCATTTCCTTTGGCCAGTTATCTTCACCTTGATAAAGGAAATCAGGAC